TGCCTTAGCCACTATGCTACCAGAGCTCCTGGTTTTGGCCTTAGGGTGCCTCAAATGTAATGTTCCCTGATGTCTTCAAACTGGTGGCCTCAACCCTTTCCACTTCTTCCTTCTTCTCCCTTAGACTCTGTCCTAGGCCCAACTCATCTGGGCCTCTTGCTCCCAGTAGCTTCCATACGAGCGCTGGAATTCTGTATACAGGTTGCCAAGGTTGCCAGTGAGGAATCTCTGCTACCTCCAGCCCCCTGACAGCCCAGCACAGTGCGTAACAATGGACAGCCTGGATTCAGACCTGGTGCTGACGCTTTGCCCTTGGTTACACTACCTGACTTGTGCCTGTTTCCTCATCTATAAGATGTGGATAAAAATAGCCTGATGAGGCTTTTATGAGGATTAAATGACTTTATACCTATTAAGGTCATTAGAGCAGTGCTTGGCTCGTAGTATGTTCTATGTCAGTTATTATCATTTGCATCTTAGCACATCACTTTAAAGTTGTATCACTTACTTGATAATTTATTATCATCGCTCCCCTGCTACAGTATAATCTTTGTGAAGCCATTGACCCTGATGTATCCTCAGTGCCTAGAACATTGCTTGGTGAGGTGGTGAAAAAAATCAGATGACAGACTACATAAAGAGGAAAAATAAGGCACACATAAGATTTTAAAATTAGCCATCATTTGCTAACTTTAAAATCTTGCGTGTGCCCTAAGGCATTTGACTGCTAACCAGAAGCCTAGTGGTTTAAACCCTCCAGCCACTCCTCAGAAGGAAGATTGGGCACTCTACTTCCGTAGAGATACCAGTAGCCTTGGAAACCCAAGAAGGGGTCACTATGAGTTGAATCGATGGAAGGCAGTGAGTTTGTTTTTTGTTTTTTTTAAAAAAATCATTTGCTAAACTTAGCATAGTGCCTAAGGCACTTGCCTGCTAACCAGAAGGCTGGCGGTTCAAACCCACCAGCCACTCCTCGGAAGGAAGGTTGGGCAATCCTACTT